CGTGCTGATGCTACAGACCACACACACATGTTTACAGTATGGTGCCTCATACAAAAGCTACAAAAGAAGCAAAGGCTAAAACTTCATGGTAGTATATATACTGTGTTACTGGTGTGTGTTACTGGTGTGTTGCTGGTGTGTGTTACTGGTGTGTGTTGATCTAATAGGATCCAAACTCTGTGACCTGGACCATGATGCAGCGCTGAGACACAGTCTGAGAGGAAGGGGAGGAGAGAGGGGGAGAGGAGAGAGAGAGGGAGAGAGGGGAGAGGAGGGGGAGGAGAGGGGGGGAGGGGAGAGGAGAAAGAGGAGAGAGAGAGGGAGAGAGGGGCGGAGGAGTGGGGAGAGAGATGGAGGGGGAGAGGGGGGGAGAGGAGAGAGAGAGGAGAGAGAGGAAGGAGAGGGGGAGAGGGGGAGAGGAGAGAGAGAAGGAGGAGAGAGGAGAGAGAGGAGGAGAGGAGAGAGGAGAGGGAGAGAGGGGAGAGGAGGGGGAGAGAGGGGGGGAGAGGGGGAGAGAAGAGAGAAAGGGACCTAACTTTAATATCTCTTTTAGACTCAGATTTGAGCCAAACCTCAAAAAACAGATTCAGAAACTTTGCTTTGGTTCCAACAGAATGAAGTCAGAAATATTACTGCTCCTCTCTCTCCTCCTCTCTCTGCTCCTCTCTCTGCTCCTCTCTCTCCTCCTCTCTCTGCTCCTCTCTCTGCTCCTCTCTCTGCTCCTCTCTCTGCTCCTCTCTCTGCTCCTCTCTCTGCTCCTCTCTCTCCTCCTCTCTCTGCTCCTCTCTCTGCTCCTCTCTCTGCTCCTCCTCTGCTCCTCTCTCTCCTCCTCTCTCCTCCTCCTCTCTCTGCTCCTCTCTCTGCTCCTCTCCTGCTCTCTCTCTTTCCTCTCTCTTGCTCTCCTCTCTCTGCTCCTCCTCTCACTGCTCCTCTCTCTGCGCTCCTCTCTCTGCTCCTCCTCTCTGCTGCTCATCTGCTCCTCTCACCGCCTCCTCCTCTCCCTCCTCCTCTCTCTCCTCCTCTCTCTGCTCCCTCTCTCTCCCTCTCTCCACCTCTCTCTCCTCCTCTCTGCCCCTGCTCTCTGCTCCTCCCTGCTCTCTGCTCCTCTCCTCCTCCTCTCTCTGCGCACCTCTCTCCTCACCTCTCTGTTGCTCCTCTCCCCTCCCCTCTTCTCTCCTCCTCTCTGCTCCTGTCTGCCCTCTCTCTCTCCTCCTCTCTGCTCCTCTCTCTGCTCTCTGTTCCTCTCTGCTCTCTGCTCCTCTCACTGCTCCCTCCTCTCCTCCTCCCTCTCCGCTCCTCTCTCTCCTCTCTCTCTCCTCTCTCTCTCTCTGCTCCTCTCTCTGCTCCTCCTCTCTCTGCTCCTCTCTTCTGCTCCTCTCTCTCCTCGCATCTCCTCCTCCTCTGCTGCCCTCTCTCTGCTCCTCTCTCTGCTCCTCTCTCTGCGCTCCTCCTCTCTGCTCCTCTCTCTGCTCCTCTCTCTGCTTCCTCTCTCTGCTCCGCTCTCTCCTGCTCCTCTCTCTGCTCTCTCTCTCTCTCCTCCTTCTCTCCTCCTCTCTCTGCTCTATCTCTGGCTCCTCTCTCTGCTCCTCTCTCTGCTCTCCTCTCTCTGCTCCTCCTCGCTCTCTCTCCTCATCTCTCTAGCTCCTCTCTCTGCTCGCTCTCTCTGCACCTCTATCTTCTCCTCCTCTCTCTCCGCATCCTCCTCCTCTCTCTGCACACCCCTCTCCTCTGCTCTCATTGCTCCTCTCTCTCACTCCTGTCTCTGTCCTCCCTCCTTCTCCCCCTCCGTCGCCGCTAAATCCCCTCTCCACCCCTCTCGTTCTCCACACATGCTCCTCTCACTATGCTCCTCACGATCTGCTTCCTCTCTCTCTGTTCGCCCTGGGTTTGCCCTACCTAAGGAACCTCAAAAACAAGGTTCCTAAGTCCTACTTTACTCTCAGCTTATCCCCACTCACGCACACTCTCGGATCTCTGGCTCCTCTTTATCCTGCTACCAAACCTCCGGAGCGACAACCAAACGTCTCTGTTCCTAACCCGTACCGCTCACAATCTGCTGCTGCACGCTTATCCTAGTAGAGCAATCTCGTCCCACATCCAATTTCCTACTCCCTTCTTGCGTCTTCTCTCACTTGCTGCCTGACTGGCCTCTCATGTCCTACATACGGCAAGTCTGCTGACATCTCTCTCTCAATGGCACTCAATCCTACTCTCTCTGCTTATTCATCTGCAACTCTCTGGCATTTCACTGCTTAGCTCGCTCTGCTCTTAACATGACTATTAACCTGCAAAGGCATTTATTTTATTTTTCTGCTTATCTGTTCTCCCCGTGCCAGCAGAACAGCTCCTCTCACCCTCTGCCTCTTATTACCGCTTTTGAGCTATAGTATCCTACTGCTAATATTAAATTTTATTCGTGCTTTGGCATTCCTGCTTACACTGCTTAACTGGCTTCTATCTTTTTTCGTCTATCTGCTTGCTTGTGCTTATCTTCCTGCTTTGCTTTCTTCGCTTTGCCTCTTGCATCCTCTGCTCCACTACTCCCACTCCCCATCCCCATCTCCGCGCCTAGTCCAAACCAAACCTCCCGCCCGACCGGCTAGTCCCTTCACGTTTTCCACATCCACGATATCCGGCTGGATTTAATATCCTACCCTAAACACCACAACCGCTAGACCCTCCTCCAACTACCTTGGCGCACTGCCATTCAGATAACCCCCACGGCTCATGTTCCAAAGATTGCTTTGCAGATACAACAACCCCAAAGTTTCCCCCAACCCCCCCCGGTCACACCAACCACATATTAATATTGGTAAGCAGTTCCTTCAAGAACTCGACCGACGGGAAGCAACGCTACAAGACCTCCCCAAAAAGTCCCGTTATTCTCCGTCCGCACACACCATTATTGTCCTATTTTGACCAAACAGCACTACAAAAGTAACGCCCAGTGTCCGTCCCTCCAATCCAATAGCCGCCGGCTCGCGTACTTTCGTAACACCACCCTCCCAGCTTCCTACACGACCAAAACCAGTTACATATGACACTTCTCGCCACTGCATACTATTCAGGACCATCTACCGTTTATAATTACAGGCTACCCCCAACTCCCCAATGGCTAGCCCACCAAGACCGCATGAACCAGACGAGCAGCACTTCGTATCACTCTCATCCCCCCCACCCCCTCTTACCCCACTGGCCAAGCAATTTAATACACCATCCCAACCCTTCCTGGCACGTCATATCCCCTGACCCCCACTCTGCAATCCGCCCTCACCAACCTAACGCCCTCCACACAAAATGGATTATTATATCTCAAATTAATCCCCGTCGAGCCACAAACCATTAACACTCTCTCTGGCTCCCCTTACCCGCTGTTCACTCCCCTGCTCTACCGTGGATTCAGTCCTGATTATTAGCACCATTTGCCAACAATTCCCTGCTACCCCTGACGCCCCTTGCCCCCCCCTTTCCCTTAACCACCCCCCAGATTACACCGAGATCCACCGCGCCTATTCCCCTTTAGATATTAGCCGCCCCTCTTTGCGACATATCGTCGGAGGGATTAGCTCCCCCCTAAGCCTATCACCACAACTCATTCCCTCCACCGGCCATCTTCCCGCGCTCTTCGGTCGTTATTTCTCCCCTTCAACCCCTGGCCGGCCTATCTAACACCACAAACCTTCCATACCCCTTACCACTCCCCGGCCGGCAAACACCCCCATAATTCACCCGCCACATTTCCTTCCGCCCCGAACATTGAATATCTTATCATTCATGGTTATCGCTACGTACCTTTCCTATTCCTGTACGAATCATGACCTAAAAAAAAACACCCCACATTATACACCTACTGTCTTGCCCCACCCTAACGCCTTCCAACCATTCGTTTAAGAACCACCCCAATTTTGGCCACCAAACCCCCCCCTCCTTCCACATCCCGAGCTCTAAGGTCACCCCCGTCTGGCGATGAACACCCCACCTATACCCACTTCCTCCCACCATCCCGTCCTTATTCCTTATCCCATCACCTTAGTACGCCCCCCCGCGGCCCTGACTTGTTGCCCCCAGACCCCTCCTAATCACCCATCAGCCATTCCAGCTTAAATACCCCGCCCACAAACTCCAACGCGCACAACTGCCTCCAATTCAAAGAACCTCATCGATAACCCCAACAGGCTCGAAACCTAAATCTGGTTTCCATTATTCCCTCCTCCCCTCCCTATTATCCGT